ATATTTAATTGATTTCAGAGAGGAAGGGAGAGGGAGAGAAAGAAACATCAATGATGAGCCTGTTTGGCGTGGCTCAGTGGTTGAACATAGACCTATGAACCAGGAGGTCACGGTTCGATTCCTGGTCAGGGCATGATATACTTCTTTATTGTCTTCTTACTAGAATGAAAATTCCTTGAGAGCAAAGACTTTATGTCTGATTCTCCGCTGAATCCCTAGAACTTAGCACAGAGCCTGGCACATAGTAGTTGATCGATAAATACCTGTTACTAAAAGAATGTTGAATAACCACTCAAGGGAACTATAGCTTCATGTGGCTTTCTGTTTCTCGGGTGATCTCCCCCAAATCCCCTGGCAGTGGCCAACCCATGGCAGAAGCCCAAATGGGAGGAAAGTGCATCCTATGAACCGGGGGCAGCCGAGCATGTGGTTACCAGGACTGGCTTTGGGAGGTCAAATCCTGGCTTACTGCCTCCACTTACCTGTGTGGCCTTGGGAAAATTATGAGCATTTTCTAAGCATCCATTTTCCTTGTGCAGGAAGAGGATAATAACAGTTCCTACTTCCCAGGGCTGGGGTGGGGACTAAATCAGAGACTGCCCATAAATCACTGAACAAGCACAGTGCCTGGCACAGAGTAGGCGTGCGACAAGAGGCAAACGAACGAACAGTCACAGATGAGCCTTTGTCTCTTTCACGTTTACAATGTGCTCTTGTACATGCTTTATCTGATTTGAGCCCTTCAACAACTCAGTCAGTTTTATCACCATTTTATAGCCGAGAAAACTGGGTCAAAGAGGAATAAAGTGCTTGCTTAAGAACACACAACTGACTACAACTCTGGTGTCCTCTCTCCCAGAAACATAAGCTATTATTACAGCCGATGCTAACCAACATGATTTGGATGGCCCTTCTAAGCCCAGACATGTGCCTCGTGTGAGGCAGTGATGGACAAATGAATCTAACCAATGAAGTCAGCCTTCCCAACTAGCCGATGGAGGCAGGAGTACACACATGGGCTCCGTGTCTCTGAATGAGGCTCATGAACAAGTCTGAATAGATAAACTACCTCTCAGAGTCCATCTAGAATGTGAAAATGTCACTATTTTCCCAAGAGCAAAAATACAAAAGCCCTTTCTGTATAGTCTCGCCTGCTTAGAGTTGGGCAGCAGCCCTAAGCAATAAATGTCACCTTTGGTGTTTGACACCCTTGCTGCCCTGCAACCTCTGGCCAGTCTGCCCTGACCCCCCCCCCCCAAAAAAAAAAATTCCCTGCCAAAGCCCCTGACTGAAGATCTGGGCCTGGCTCTCATGAGAATATCCTTCATCTTCCCGGGATCAAAGACCAAGAGAAATCCCAGGATGGTGAGAGATCTGCAGGTATTAATTAGACTTGAATTTTAGAACCAAAAGTCCAACTGTCAGGAGTCATGGATTATTACAACCACAGCATCTGGGAGACAAAGAAACTTACGAATGTAACACTTTAAGGCTCATGGGATCAGAGGTAACATTGGACAGGAGGGGACAAAAGTTGCTTCGAAACAGGGGCTCCAATGCATCCCGGGTTTGGGGCATCTTCTGTCTGGTCAGAGGCTTAGCAAACACTCCCTGTGAGAACATGGTCTGAGGGCTCCAGCTGCAGGAGAAAGGCTGGGAGCACAGACCTTGGATACCAACTTACTGGCAAAATTCTATAGCCAGGCCCGAGGCAAGAGAGCAGGAGAGGAGATGGCAGCCTTCAGGACCCCGCCAGGCTGGACAGCCCAGTGGTGTGTTATAAGACCCTGATGGTGCCAGGTTTGTGGCAGGCCACCAACTACCAAGAGACTGAGACCAATGCCATGATGGCCTGGTGTGATGGCGTGGGCTCCGTGCAGGGAATGTGCCCTGCAAGCAGCACTCAGCCGTCAGTGGAACTCTGTGGCACCATGACTGGGAACTTCTATTTGCAAAGTGTTTACAACGGAGGACAGTGTTCAGACCCCAAACCCTGGAAAGGGGTCAAGAAGTGGGGTCGACAGTGGCTCTGGTGAAGCAGTGGAGATGAGTCTGAGGGCCATTCTGGGGGTCATATGGAAAAGTGGTGAACACCCCCACCCCACCCCTGGCCCCATCTACATTCAGTAAGGTCACTTACGTTAATTAGGTACTTACATTAATAAACTTCAATGATTTTTTTAAAATGAGAGAGAATGCTAGGGTAGTCATGACCTTGTATCAAAACTAGGCTGCTCAGAGTGAAACCGGACAATCAATTGGTCTGGGCTGCCTGCCACTACTTGAGCCAATTAAGTAGAGACAGGGTTGAATCATATATGAGCGTTTATTCCAATGATGCTGGCAGTATGAGAGAGCAGCAGGTCATCCACAAAAATCTGCTCTCTATCCCTCCCTCCCCCATAAACCAGCTGCTTATATTGGGTAGAAGGACAAAGATTACATGGGGAAGTAGGCAAAAGGGATAAGAATAATAGGTAAAAATGGGCAGTTTACAGGTAATGTGGGCTGGGAGTTTGCAAAGGCCTGGAGTTTTGCAAAAGTCTGGGGGCTTGTAAAGAGCTGGCACCTCTGGTTTCTGCAACAAAGCTGTTAATATTTCCATGATAACAGACAGCTCCCAGAGGTGGAGGATGGGACGAATTTCCAGGTGAGCTCCCAGGTCCCGTGTGCGACTCCCAGCCAGGTGGGAATGTACTTTCTTTAATCAGAACAAAACAATGATGCTTAACAGAGCATGATTAATCTATATATATAAAAGCCTAAGTGACCAAATGACAATCTGACCAGTTGCTATGATGTGCACTGACCATCAGGGGGCAGACACTCAACGCAGGAGCTGCCCCCGGTGGTCAGTGCACTTCCACAGTGGGAGCGCCACTCAGCTATCTGACGGGTGCCAGACGCCAGGCGTAGCGGGGCTGGGATGAGCGGGAGCTGCTCGGGGGCCCAGCCGGGGCTCAGGCTCCTCCCCGGCTGCCTGCTCCTTTGAGAGGGAGCAGGCCAGGCTGAGGGATTCGTGCACTGGCCTCTAGTATTTCTTATAATTATAGTTGGTCCCCAATATTCTATTTCTGCCCCTAATAAGAGCAGAGTAGACCAAAAGACAGTGGTTGGACTGTTTTGCTGGTGTGAGAAACTCACAGAAGCACAGGAGCAGGGAAGATGGTCTGGCTCCTAGGAACTTGGGAAGTCCTGTACCCTGGGAGATGGACCATCTTCTGCCCCAGGAAGTCCCTGGTACTTTTCTCTGTCCTTGGCAGCTGCTTCTCTTTTTGGCCTGCTCCTTTGGGGATCAATCCTGGGAGCAGCTCTGGGTGCCAGGCCTGGCTGGAGGGACCAGCTAGGCTGGTGACGTGCTCCAGCCTAGATCAGAACTCGTCCCGCAACTGTGGGGGCCAGTCCATGCCAAAGAAAGAGGATGTCCTCCCCATGAGGTCTCGTTCCCGTTTCACGAACGCGGAGAAGGAGGAGACACAGTTGCCTATAAAGTGGTCAGCTTGGCCAAGGATGTACAGGTCGATCTGGGCCACCTCAGGCTGCAGGCTCACCACCTTCACCTGTAGAAGGAAGGGCAGGGCATTTTAGCCAGGGTGAAGGCCAAGGTGGCCAGCTCAGCCAAGGCCTGCAGGCACATTCCCAGTGTTCTTCCCCTGTGCTGAGTTACAGACACAACAGGAGGTGCAGAGAGGTTAAGAGGTAGGGCCGGCATCTAAGAAAAGTGTTGCCCAGCAGCTGCCCTGGCCTATCCCCACATGGAATACTAGCCCCAGCACTCTTTTCCCACTGCCAGCCTTAGCTCCAAACACATCACTCATTCACACTCACCTCCGCTTGCTAGTTTCCTTTGCCTGGGACACCTTTTCTCTGCCCATTGAAATCCCTACCATACTCTCAAGTCTCAGCTCAAGTTCTACCTTCCTCATGAAGCCCTAGACTGACAGGCTTGGCTTCCCTCACCAAACTGTGATCTGACCAAAGACTGCTCCACCCATCCACTTCTGTTGCCCAATGCCTCTGAGCCTAAAATCTTATCCAATTTATTCCCAAGATATTCCCCAAAGGTAAACCCTTCTCTTGATGGAATACCACTTCCTGGCCAGCCACCATCCTCCCTTACCTCTTCACTGGTCTCCTCACTGCCTCTCCTCCTGGCCTGCTCACCACAGTGCAGCCAGAGAAAATCTCTTTAGATACCTCTAACCCCATCATCTGCACCTCAAATGGTGCCCTATTGTTCTTCAGGTAAAGGTGGCAAATCTTTTTTAAAAATATGTTTTTATTGATTTCAGAGATGAAGGGAGAGGGAGAGATAGAAACATCAATGATGGGAGAATCATTGATTGGCTGCCTCCTGCACACCCCACATGGGGATCGAGCCTGCAACACGGGCATGTGCCCTCACTGGGAATCAGACCATGACCTTCTAGTTCATAGGTTGGCACTCAACCACTGAGCCATGTCGGCCAGGCAAGATGGCAAATCTTGATTGTGGCCAATAAAGCCTTGTTTAGGCTCCGTTTCCACTTCCTCTCATACCTCCAGCCACTACGATCCAGGCGCCCACCTTCCTCAGGACCCTTACATATGCTCTTCCTCCCATTTGGGGTGCTTCTCTTTGCTTGGTTAACTCCTGCTTAACCTTCACTCTGCAGCTCAAGTCTTGCCTCCCTGGGGAAGTCCTCCCTCACTCCCCCCAGTCTAGGCAAGGGTCCTCTGTTCTGCACTCTGACAGAACCATGTTCCTTTACTTTGGAGTGCATGTCTGTTTGCCGTTTTTACTTCTTAGTGATTCTCTGATTAATGTCAGTCTCCTGCACCTGATGGGGGCTGGGCTGTGTCAGTTTGCTTGTCACTGCTGGCTGGAGCCCTCCTCAAGAAGCATCTGTTGACTGGGCAAGTGAATGAATGAGACTCCCTCCCCTACCCATGGCATGTATTATAGTTCTCTGCAAAGTTTCTTTTCTTGAGTCTAGACTGTGAGCCCTGGAGGGTCGAATCACCTCCTATTTATCAGTATCTCCAGCTCAGCACTGGCCAAGCTTAACGGAGAAGCAAGACTTAGTCCAGAAGAAAGGGGGGTTCTGAGCCCATGGAGAAGGGGGCTGAGGAGTAGGGAAGGGCAAGAACAATGGTGCAGAAACAGGAAATAGAAAATGGCAAGAGGCTCACGGCATAACAAGTACATTAACTAAAAACTCACAAAAAACTCCCTGGGACTCTCCACATGCTTCAACTTAGTACTGAGATGGCAGTGTGGGCAGAGCTGGGCGGAAAGTGCTTTGCTGTCACACAGAGATTTCTGATGTAACAAAAATCATCATCTTGCTATTTGGATTTTAGCAAAGAAATAATATGAGTTTAATCATGGCCCAAAAACCCCTGAACAATTCCATCCACGCCCTGAAACTTATCCCCTCTGTGTCACACCCATAATTAGCTCTGGCACCTCTGGGGTAAATTCTATCCCTTCCTGGGACTTTGGCTTCCTCAGCAATAAAGCACAGGGGTTGGGTTAGAGGTGCTTGGAGGTCTCCCAGCTCTGATATTCTTCTATAAAGTGGGTGGTGGGAGACCAGAATGCACTGACTCAGTACTTTTGTTGTTGTTAATCCTCACCTGAGGATATTTTTCCCATTGATTTTTAGAGACAGTGAGAGAGGGAAAGAAAGAGAGAAACATGGATGTGAGAGAAATACATGGGCTCATTGCCTCTTGCATGCACCCCGACCAGGGCCCAGGCTGGGGAGGAGCCTGCAAACAAGGTACGTGTCCTTAACCGGAATCGAACCCAGGACCCTTTGGTCCACAGGCCGACACTCTATCCACTGAGCCAAACCAGCCACGGCTGACTCAGCACTCTTGTGTCTGCGTAAAAGCCTGTGTCTGGGGTAAAAGAGAGAAAGGGAGCGAGGGCACTCATTGCTAGAAAGTGAGGGCAGCTTAGGGGTTTGGCTCAATGGATAGAGCATTGGCCCAGGTTCGATTCCGGTCAAGGGTATATGCCTGGGTTTTGGACTCGATCCCCAGTAGGGGGCATGCAGAGGCAGCCAATCAATGATTCTCTCTCATCATTGATGTTTCTATCTCTCTCTCCTTCTCCCTTCCTCTCTGAA